AAGATTCGCCCTTAGTGATCTCGTCGCACTAATAATCCCACGTGTCGGCCGTGTCTGTACACCGATAGCACCCCCATCGGCGGGAATACTACATATTTACAGATTACGGATTATTTGCCGACGATGTGCACATTTCTCAACGGATGCGGCTTTGGGTATCTGTCGACCTATATTGCGCCTACGTGGCGCGTATAAGGCACTACAGGGGAATCACTCGTGGCAATCTTATATGAATCTACTTTTCTTGGAAAGATCTATTCGAATATGTGATAAAATATGGAACACTCCATTTAAAAAGAACTGTCGAAATATGTCCAATTTTTTAAGCAAAATATTCCATATTTTATGGCACATTCATATAGATCTTTCCAAAAGAGGATGACAGCTTCAACATGTTAGATTCAGATTCTATTAATTCTCAGTGCTCAGTTCTCAATTGTTGTGTTGTCCTGACAAAGTCGCGCCAGTCCAATACGTAGTTTGTGCCGTCTGTTATGCGAAGCTGTAAGGATATTCCGTATTGACTGTCAGTTGAGTTTTGGCATAGACTATGTGATACAAAAAAATAGTTTCTATCCACACCGGTTCGAGAATCACCTATATTTATTACGATACAGAAGTTTGATTCACATAAGATTATTGCTGCAGAACGGATAGTCTCTTGATAAGTTTGTATATAAACTGGTTGTTTTAAATTCGACCCTCATCATTGGGATCTCGGAAACGGTAAAAGAAACAAAGTCCCTTAAATGGGACCAACGTTTCGTATTTAGGTAACTAACAAAATGCTGCTTAGAAAGTTTCGAAATTTAAAGTACTTTAAAAAATGAATTTACCCAAAATCGCTTTAACTTCTCCTGACATTATTTGTTGTATAAATTGCACATTAGCATTGCCACTTTTTTCTCTACAAAATGGTGTAGCCAAATTTTCAATTCCTACATCACACTGTTTTTTCATATGGACACTATATAAAATTACAAGGAAATAAAAAAGTATGGTGAAACTTGAACACAAAATGAAAATGTTATTGTTAGTAATAACGATAATCATAAATCAGCAGATGTTTTAGCAGTTGTACAAAAAATTACCCATTATTTTGTAAGCAAAGTCTGAATTTCGTCTGTACATTATTCCATGCTCGGTCTATTTCCCTTCTTCTCGGTTTTCCAAACTCTGTTATAATGATCCTTGCGCAACAATTGACCATAGCTTTTTAATTCCTTATAATTTTCGTTCGAACAACATACTAATGGCCAACAGGACATTTAAATGTACAAAGTGTCAATATAGCATCCATATGAATAAACAAAGTTGGTGACGGAAGTCAAAAGAAGATACATCGAATTGAAAATTTGACTACGCCATCTTGCAATAACAACATGCACTTTATTTGGAACCCAAATAAAGTCAGTAAAAAATAAAAATAATTTGGCGATAAATGTGGTATATGAATCAAATGACGTAATTTCAAACCCTACCTAGGAAATTCTGTTTGTTTTTTGTTCTAATAAATATGGTTTGTCATTGTAAAGAATGAAATGTTATACATTTTTGAGATCAAATTAAAACGATTTTGGAGAAATTCCGTTTTTTAGTCTCTCCTCGAAAGTACTTTGAATTTCGAAAGTTTCTAAGCAGCATTTTGTTAGTTACCTAAATAGGCAACTTTTCCCTCATTTAAGCGACTTCGTTTATCTTAGCCTTCCTGACATCCTAATAGTAAGGGTCGAGAAACACTCAGTATAAAGGAATCGAGTATTCGAATGAAAATCTAGAAAGCTGCTATGAATACTATCCAAAGAATGAAATGGAACAATACATTGAAAATCATCCATCGAGGTACAGCCAAAATTGGTGACACGCCTACGCCAATTCAAATACATATAACTCGATCAAATTGCTGGAAATTATTCTGCCTCATGGTAATTTAATAATACTGATGTACATAACGTGTCGAAGTGTCTGGCAGAGCTGATATATTCTGAGCTATATTTATCGGTCAACATCAAGCATTTGCATATTTCAATGATGGGAGATGCATTTTTCATAGACTTACAACCTTGGGGAGATTGACCTAGTTCTCAAAGCTTAATGAACGGTGGAGACACCTTATTATGACTTCCATGTTGGTCTGTAACCAGGCCATTACAATATTGTATTCGTGTGAACTGCAACATTGAGATAGTGCTGTTAAGTCAAGCCAGTAGCTAAGTCGATACTGCAGCTCACACGAGGACGGTAATGGACTGGCTCATTGTCCTGAAGTGGACACTGGCACCGTGTGCAAGTGCTTTTAGTACAAGGTCTGTAACTTAAGTAATGGGACTCATCTTTTTAATTTTTTTTATTCAAATACAATTACAGTTTTTGGAACCCTGAAAATAACTTTCTTCTGAAGCTAGAAGAGACCATTCTTCCACTCCTCACAGCATTGCTGGAACTCCGAGACTTCAGCTGGTTCGTTATAGCTGTTTGAATGTTTTCGACTGTCCCAGAATAGTAAGGTGATTTTTCAACTTCGGGAAGACTAAAGTCAGATGAATAAGGAGGCTGTGTTGTCACAGGAATGTTTTTACTGGCCAAAAACTCGTTTGTTGACATTGCTGTGTGGCAAGGAGCATTATCGTGATGGAACACCCAGTTCTTGATCTGATGAACGATGATGTGAGGCAAACTTAACTCTTCCCCGACGATCTGAACGGTCAAGATCCCGGATTCTGTTGATATCGGTTCTTGAAGATGACAGCCTTCCGCTTCGTAATATACCGCGATCTGAAAGCAGTGACCGTCCTTGGTCTGGCGACTCGCTCATAGATGGCTCGGCGTTCTGCCAAGGATCCGCGACAGTGTTCCAAACTAACATAAAATGTTTAGAAAACGCTAGATTTATACTGCGCTGAATGGGGTCCAGTTCTCTTCACGGTTTTTGGTGGTTACGTCAAAAAGTCATACGGAATTAATAATCATATCGTGTTTAACCCAAGCTGTGTAGATAAGTAGTATCAAATACACCGACGATTGGTCAAATAAGCAATGTGAGGTTAGAATAAATAATAACTTCAAGCTGACATTCAATAAATGTCCAAACGGAAGTAAATATTAACAAAAAAATCCTTTCACTCCGAGTGATAAGCAATGAATTTACCAATAAAGAATTATCAGATGCCATTAGCTGTTTTGTAGATACCATATTGTGGCCTTCTTCCCCTATCTGCCTCTTTCTTGGTATAACTATAAACGTTTTGGCTGGGATCTTATAATGGTGGTTAACTACCCCCCAGACAGTCTTTTGTGAAACTCAGTGGACTCTTACTAAGTGGGTAAGATTTTACTATTGTAACGCTTCCTTTCAGCAAAAAGTCCAGAAAAGATGGAATGCAATGAAGATTCCAACTTTTCTGCACAATCACAGAAAGGGGGTTACAATTAGCTTCCGGTAGCTCAGTCGGTGGCATGAAGACATCTACAGGCGTGTAGCTGTGTGTCGACCATGGCATGGCTAGAGGATAGAAGAACAAACAGAACACAAAAATTTAACAGATTTTATTTAACAAAAAAAAAGGCATTTTCATTACATTACAATTTTACAAAAATAACAAAATAAGTTTTACATCTTTGGCGCTGCTATAACGCTATCAACTTATCTTTCGCGGGTCCATTTTTACTCGACTGAAGCCAGGATGGCCAGGGGTTTGAAGGGGAGGTCCCAGTTATGAGGGGTGACCTCCATATAGTGGCTTCACAACCAGTTGTAGGCGAAGTTAAAGGCGATGGCGCTGCCAAGGTACATGCATGGGTGAAAATATTGGCCAAGGCTAGGCAAAGTGAAAGGGAAAGAGAAAGGGGGTGGCCCCAATCTAAAAAAGAACCGTGTGCATTAGCAACGTGCCCTAATGGCCAAGGCATTTCCAATCTCAGTCTGCCTCAAAAAAGAGAACCAACGATTTTCTAGGTTAGAATTACATTATATAGTTTGATAAAATCAAACCGAAAATTGGAAATGCCTTTCATAAAATAAAATCATGAAATAGCAAAAAAAAGCGTAAAACAAGATGGTGGTCATCAAAAATTTCTCCACATGCTTCTGATATAAAAACACAATCATCGAATATTCATAATCAACGTACTTATAATTTCACTGAACTATGAATATATATACGCGCACAGAGGTAAAATCGATGTGGATCGATTTCCACCTCGATTTGATTAAAGTTATGGCGAATGATCGAAGTAGTCGAAAATGACGTTCGATGGATATTTTAAAATCGTACAAGAAATAAATCACTTACATATCGATTATCTATAAACTACAGGCAGATCCAGCAATAAAACTGTATAGTATTATAAAACTCACCATTTTTGTCCTATACGGACACACATTCTAGAAAATTCTAGCACATGGTGCTATTATAACCTTGTGCTACAGAGAGGAAATTTCTAGCCGTTGTTCGATCGGCGGCTCAAGTGAAAAGGAAGCGCGAGGAAGATCGCAGATCAGGAACTCCGCATCAAGCGCTCCAAGCGGAAAATTTTCCAAGCAAAAAAGCTAGAGATGGGATTAATCAAATGATAATCGAGAAGTGATTTAATAAATACGATCGGACGGTGAAACCGTTACACTATGAACTCGCGGGTTAAATACGATAGAAATCCATCATTTAGCCCACGGATGTAAAACCTTTAGTAAGAATGGCAAAGGCCTATTTTCTCACTTCAGTTATGTTATACCTCAAAAGGTGGAACAAGCGTGTCAACAGGCTAAAGGCATTTCCACTAGTAGCTTTCGAGATACAAGTCCGTACCCGATTACAGCCACAATAGATTGTATCAAATTTGGTCCGTGGTTCGAACAGTGATTAATGACTTATTTTCATCGGCTGAGATTATACTTCTCTGTGATTGGTCGAATTTGCTCCATAGAATCAAATGGGAAAACATATTTTTACAACTAAGTGATTAACAAAGAAGTTCTTGATCTAATATAGGGATAAGAAACCCATCTTTTAGGCAGCAGCGGTGGCCGCAGTAGTAGACTCTTCGGTCTCCTGATCAGTCGCCGTGCGCTGTGCGGGTTCGAGTCCCGTCCGAGGAGAAATTTTTGTCTTGGCTATGGATGTTGTGATTGTCCGTAGGTGGTAGACTGTCTTTGACTGTCGAACGCGGAGGTACCACCCGGCGGTTCTCGTAGGCGGAGCCAGAATGTGTGCATGTTGCATGCACACCTGTTCCCTCGCCAGAGTCCGCGTGGCGTCCCCCCTTTCCCATGTATCCCCCTATAGCCCCACGGTACCCAATGGGTGCTTAGGCCTTAGGCCTTCGTGGTAGTTGGAATATAAAAAAAACTTACCCAAATCGTATAATTTCTCGCCGGTTTTTTAAACGTTTCTGAAGATATCAAATATATTCATTAGATCTGTTGCTCTAGAAACTATTTCTGATTGGTCAATCCACGGATTTGTAGTAAAATCGAGTCTCAGTTGATCATATTCACTCACCGTGCTGTAACAAACTTTCAAAGTCTCCAACAATATGTGGTATATACATCTGACTGCCTGTTCACTAAGAAATTCATCAGTTATCCTGGTAGGGAGGTAACAATATAGTACGTGTCTGTCTTCAGGAATCAACTACGGTCTACCGGTGACATTGCGACTGGAGACTGGCAGCTAAGGAGAAATCTTTATAATGTGATACTGACTGACACATATTTATGTTAGGGGCGTTAACAAGAAGTTTATTGCTTTGCAACTATCCAGCTGTCCTCTCAGCCCAAAAAAACATTCTGTGGAAGGTTTGCCTTCTGTGACCATTACAAGTGAAAATAAGTGATGCATTTATCCTAGCATTGCGATACTTTTCGGTTAGTCCCTACTAACTAGCAGTTAGATAGTATAATCCCACACATTTTTTTAGTTTTCAGTCACTCATCAAACCTTGAGTTGAGCAATATATCGAAAACTTGCTGTCGCAAATAACTAGCTTCAAAGCATTTCAATGAAATACTCGGTCATACTGTATATACTCTATTTTATTGGTTGATTTCATTGTCTTTGGGAAATATGAAGCCAAGCCAACAGCTATACAAAATTAAATTGGATCTAGTGGGACGTGACGTTCGAATATCATAAATAAAAGACGCTCATACTTCATAAACGGCCGCCTACGCTAGAGGACAATGTCCTGGGTGAAACAAAAGGCGTCACTTGACAAAAAGGAGGAATTCAATGTTGTATATTTTATCAAAACTAAAGGAGCACGGTCATTGCTCCATTTTCATGTCCGTTGCGGCATAGGCTTTTATACAGTATATTTTCCAACATGGGTCAGTACATCATGACATGATTCCTCGGAATATCCTAAGATTATTTTGTTCCTAGCGATTTTATGGAAACAACTTCCCATTGAGGATACGTGACATTACGAAATAACTTTTTATTAACAAAAGTCATACGTAATGGACATAATGGAATGCGAGGTAATATGGTCCAAAGCCTTTTCATATCTGAAGATTAAAAAACTTTAAATTCATTTTGCAGGGATATACAGGATGATTTATCTAAACACACCAAATCTGCAATATTACATATCTCAGACACTAGTGGAACCGCAGGGGTATTATGTAGTGATCCTAGTTAATGTCATAAATCTAACGTAATGTCAAATTGTTTCCTTACGTAAGAAATCTGATGTAATGTCACAAAATTTTAACGAAGTGTCAATTAATTCTTACTTAGTGTCACTTTTCAGTTACATAATACCCCTGCCGATGTTGTAGAAATCTTTCACGATGACAAAGTTACCTACTAGTAACGTAAAACTAAATGGAAGGTTGAATAATACAGAACCAGACTCGATTTATTTCGCTTGTTTGTGTTTAACAAAATCACCACCTTTCAGACTGAACATTGACTTGTTTGACTATGTACAAAAAAGCTAATGAATGGTGCTAAGTGAGTAACAATAGACTCATTGTGCTGAATATGTTCTTTTTAGCAGTGTATGTGATTCAAAACTCAACATTTCATGTGTTATCAACCTGCTTTCATTGATAGATATTCTCTAAAATGATGCTTTAAATTCAACTATTGATGTTTTGGGTGCTCAAAATTCCAGAGTCAAATTCAGTTTTTTTTAATCTCTTGTATTCTGCAAGGTGGGCCATTTAAAGTGGAAGCATCAAGCAACCCTATATCTTTGACATTAGTTATCAGAACGACTAATGTCATACCGCGTTGGAAGCGTCATTTCAGTAGATTTTTAACCAAGGAACAGTGTACACCAAAACAACGCGCTGTAATTATTCAGTTGTACATTCAAAATAACTTCTCAATCGTGAAAACTAAACGTGCGTTTCGTAAAAAAAATGAAGTTAAAAGTGCTTCAGCTGATAACACTATCAGACGTTTACACGCAAAATTCGTTAACACCGGTAGTCTTACTAATGACAGTTACCTATCCAGACAACGAACAAGACGTTCCGACAAAAATATCGAAGCCGTACGAGCCAGTGTTGAAGAGGCTCCATCAACATCCGGTCGTCATCGCTCTCAAGAGTTGGGCATCGCTCGAACCACTCTCCTATGCATAATTCGTGTAGATGCTTCCATACAAGATTCAAATGGCTCATCAATTATCTGATTATCCATGTCGCTTTGATTTTGCCAAATACGTAGTCGTGCCATAAGTTCTGTCCCATGATAATCTCATGATAAAAATGAAACAAGATAAGATATATTTATATGAAAGATATTATTTATTCGACAACATTTTTAGAATTCATAATCAAACAGTTTTATTCAAAATGTCCCCCCTTGGCCTTCACACACTGCTTCAATCTCGCGGGCCACTCATCTATCACTGCACGCACAGCTTCCAAAGGAATAGCTGCCGCAGATCGGATCAAATCCGCTTTCAGGGACTCGATATTACGGTGGGCTTTGGAGCAGGCCAACTGCTCTAGCAGGTCCCACAACTTGTAGCCTAAAGGATTGAGGTCCGGACTCCCTGAGGGCCAATCTTCCGCAGCAATGAACTCTGGCACATTGCTTTCCAGCCAGCGCTGCGTACTCTTAGCCTTGTGAGCGGGGGCGGAATCCTGCTGGTAGACCCAGTGTTGGTTGGCAAACAATGTACCACTTAAAGGCTTGACGATAGGATCCAGTATGTCGCTCTGATAGTTTGCCGCTTTTGTTTTCACGCCCTGTTTACAGAAATGGAGCTGAGTGACCCCTTCGTAGGACACCCCCCACCAAACCATGACTGACGCAGGGTGGTGGCCTCTCTCAACTCTCGGAATGATCTCCGAAGCTTCCTGTGAACTCCTTGCATACACTTTGTCATTTTGTCGGTTGAATTTTTCTTCTATGGTGAAGATTTTCTCATCCGTGAACAAAATCTTTCGGAATCCCCCAGCTGCGTACCTCTCCAAGAGCTTCTTGGATCTTGTCGCCCTGATGTGTCGCAAGGTGGCCGTAAGTCGCTGGCCCGTACGTCTCCGGTAAGCCCCTAGCCCTAGGTCTTGTTTAATGATGCGCGACATCGTCCGGACAGGAATCTTCATTTCCCTGGATAGGATCTTCTGCTTCCGGAGTGGATTCCTTTGAATCCTGGCTTTTACGGCTTTGATGGCTGCTGGAGTCCTTACTTGACGAGGTCTTCCGCTTCTTGGCCTGTCATCAACAGAGGACGTCTCATTGTACCGCTGAATGGTCCTAGACACAAATTTACGCGATATTTGAAGGCCGCGTAAGAGTTCAAAAATCTGACTAGCACTGTGATTACACTTATGTAAAGCTATCACTGCAATACGGTTCTCTGCCTTGCCCCACTCCATCGTTATGCTTCGAGAGATCAATACAAACTGAGGTATATGTAATTACCCGAAAAGCGCTTAATCAACTGACACCACAATGTAAACAATCGGACAAGTATTAACAGGTCTACACTTGTTTGAAAACGAGGGACAGAACTTATGGCATGACTACGTAGATCATTGGAATGGCCAAAAATGAAAATGACTTTTGGCGAAAAATCGTCATGTCCGACGAGGCACATTTTCCGTTACATGGAGGCTTAAGTATAGTCAAAATCACGAAAGATGACTATTACGTCATACCATAAATTGTACTGAAGCAATCAATCGACGTACGTCGATGATAAAATCACGAGTCAGGAACATAATGACAACAAATTTATATTATGATTTTGAAAGTTAGGTTATTTCACTGATTGTTTTTATTTGCATTTTATTTCATGGCTTTGAGTGATACCTTAATAATAATTTTAGTGGGGAGTTTTTGTTTTGAAAAAAACAGTTATGAGTAGAATACCTTAAGACAGGAACACCAAGGACCAAAGTATTATTCGAAAACACCATAACCTGCTTTAACATAACCTAACTATTGTTATTAATTATGTGATCGATCATGCAACATGAAAACATCGTCTATATTTGTCGGATACATGGAAATTAACAAAACAGTTTGATTAGACAATAAAATTCTGTATCTCTCTGTCTAACATATCTGAAACTACATTAAAAATATTCACAAATCGCTGTCGTTTGTCTTTACTAGAGACTAAAATGATGACGTAATCGTCATCGATCGTGATTTCGACTTTAAACAAAATTGTCGGTTTTATGCTACCGAAAACCCTCATTTAATCGAACAGCAGGCTCTTTATGACCAAAAAGTTACTGTTTGGTGCGGTATGTGTGCGAATATTTTGATCTGGCCGTATTGTTTTAAAAATGTGTGAAAATGACATGGACGATTACTGGTTCCAGCAGGACGGTGCCACTTGCCACACAGCTCAAGCGACAATCAATTTATTGCGACCTTTGCTCCTTGGACGACTGATATCGAAAAATGGCGATTTTGACTGGCCACCGAGATCACCTGATTTGACGCCACCAGACTTTTAATTGTGGGCTATTTGAAATCCAAGATATACGCTAACAGGCCAAGGACTCTAACTGCCCTCAAAAACAATATTCGTCGAGAAATTGTCGCCATATCCGCCGAAACATTGACCAACGTGATGGAAAACGCCGAAAAAAGTGCACATTTGGATATCAAGGCCAGAGGTGGCCATTTGCGCGATATCATTTTTGAAAAGTATTTACAACAAATCTCCTTGGATCAAAATAAAATAATTTCAAAATGAACAACAAAAAATATTGTTTTGATGGATTTTTTTTATGCTTCCACTTTAATTGGCCCACCCAGTATTTAGTGCAACTGCCTTAAATTTGAATTTATTATTCCATAGAGAGGAGCAACACATGATATAAATAAAAGAGAAAATTA